TCATGAGTATGTTTTCCTTGAAACAACAACAGCAACTACAAAAACACCAGAGCATTGCGGATGGATGAGATTCAAATGCCTTTGGCCTCAGTCCACAATCCCAGCAGCACCTCCCCAGACAGACAGGGACTCCTGGTATGGTGCACGTCCATATCTGATTTTAAATCATCTAAATCTCATTTGCTTGACTTGAGTGGCCTGGGCAATTGGGGTGATGCAGACCTGTGTACCCAAACCAGGCATGAGCCCAGGCAGCTCACTGGGGCCAAGGGTGACTCTTGGCTGCCCCTCGGCTGGCAGGATCACTCGTAGGGACATACTTCCCTGAAGTGAGTAGGACTTGTTGACTCCTGTGCTGTCCTCATTCAACCTGGGGCTGTGACAGCTCCTCCGTCTTCCTGCCCCAATTGTTGTTCCAGGATCCAAATAGCCCCCTGCTTCTGGCCTGGATTGGATGTCAGGAGTCTGAACAGACAAATAGAGATATTGCCATGGTTTAGCAATCTCTCCAGCAAGCTGTGGGGCCCTGGGGACAGAGCAGAGGCTGTGGGCTCCCAGGCCTACCTCTGGTTTCCATCCCAGCTCACCCCATGCCTGCCACTCTCCTCCAACACGGCAGGAAGCACCCTACTCAGAGCCCCCAGGGAGCATGGTCCTGCCAGTGCCTGATTCAGACTCCAGAACTGTGAGGAAGACATTTCTGTCGTTTTCAGTTACACGGTTGGTGGTCATTTGTATTGGCCACCCTGGGAAGCTGATTCCGATGTGGACCTATGGCGGGACTAAGCAGAGGTGGGACAGACTCCATGGTAAAGGACCCCTCTTCCTGCTGTTTGGAGAAGTGGGGGCCTGGAGGCAGATACAGTTCCAGGAAGTTGCTATGACGCACCTGGAATGAGCTGGTGGGAACAAGAGGACAAGCCCCAAAGTCCTGGAGAGCAGAAGGAAGGAGTTGGGAGGGGTGAGGGAGGTGGGTGGGGGACACTGGCATTGGGGACCAGGCCTTTAGGTTTAATGATCCAGGTGGAGAGGAGCCCCTGGCTGTGCTGACTGCCCAGAACTCTCAGAAGTGATCACACAGGGCTGCAAAGGCTCTGCACAGGTGCCTGATGCCCTGCTGTCCTCTGACCCCTTCCAGCCCTGTGTGGTCACTTCTGCTGTGTACCATTGGCAGCTTCCGACTCTGGGCTCCCAGATTCTGAGCAGTGGGTGAATCTCTGGGGACTGGCAACCATGCTCAGGCTTGAGGGTCTTTGTTTTGGTCAATTATCTGCTTTTCTTATCTGTTTTCTAGCAAGGTTTTGGTGGATTTATTGAAAAGTTATTTTAGGAGCTCTCTATATCTCTACATGTTATCCTTATGGACTAGAATGTGGTTTAGTTTCTCTCTCCTTTGTTTTTTTTTTTTTGTTTTTTTTTGGGGGGGGGGGTATCAGGGATTGAACCCAGGTGCACTTAACCACTGAGCCACATCAAGGGAGCAGCAACTGGGGAGATGGAAAGACCAAGAAGCTTCTGGGGTAAGGGGGTGATGCAGGGACCCACAGATCCTCCGTCATCTCCCAAGGTCATATTCTGCTGCAGAGCCCTAAGGGCAATAGATGGTGGCTCCGGCCTCAGTAAAGAGCAAATGGAGCCAGGCAAGGTGGCACATACCTGTAATCCCAGCGGCTCAGGAGGCTGAGGCAGGAGGGTCGAGAATTCAGAGCCAGCCTCAGAAAAAGTGGGGCACTTAGCAACTCAATGAGACCTTGTCTCTAAATAAAATACAAAATAGGGCTGAGGATGTGGCTCAGCGGTGGCATACCCCTGAGTTCAAACATCAAACAGCAGTATATTTAGAAGCAGCATAGTTTCCTTTGTGGTTCTCTGCTTATGACCCGTCTCCCTCTCGACAGTGCTTTTCACTTGAGCCTTACTGTACTCTCACTCAGAATAAAGTTCTCTTGCTTGGGTTTTGTGTCTGACTTTGAATTTTCTTCCATGGGACACGAGAACTGAGGTTTGGAGCTGCAGCTCTCTACTCGGCTGTGACACCCACCGGGGCTGAGAGGCACTGTGCTGCACGTCAGTCAAAAGGTCTGAAGAGCTTGTTAGGTCGAGCAGGGCAAGAAGCCACCAGTGCTGCTCTGCGGAACTGGCCAGTGGTCAGGCTGTGCTTTGGTCCTCCAGGAGGCCACATCTTCCCAGAGAGGCTGTGCAGGGTGTGCCCTGCTGTCTCCACTCCAGCCCCTCCTGCCCCTGAGGACCCGCACCTCTGCAGAGGCTGCTGTGCTGGTGGCCATCCCAGCTTCAGGGGACACTTGGTGGCCCTCCCTGCCCTCCTCACCATGGTGTGGAGCAGGTTCTTTAGAAAAGACCCTGGGACCCAAGGAAGAACTTCCAGCTTCCAGCAATCTGCCCAGGAACTAAACATGCCCAGGGGACTGAGTTCCCATGTTTGAGTTGCAGGGCCCCAGTTTGGGATGACTAACGGCCCTGGCCCCTTGGAGAACTCAAGCTGGTTTCCTGGCGACAGGTGCTGGTACACTGTGTTCAGCTGGTGGGTGCCAGATTCCATGCCCAGCAGAGTCGTCAGAGGGGGAAACATCACAAACTGGGGATTGCACTGCTTAGTGACCTACTTTTGTCAACTAATATTTTGTAGTTCTTTTTCCTATACCATTTTAAATGGCTGTGTAATCATGCAGGTGTACCATAATGTGGTTATTTCAAAACATGAGCTTCTTTTTTTTTTTTTTGCTATTCAACATTCTCTTTATTGATCATCTCTCATCTCTGTACATAATTTTCAGTATAAATCTCGGAATTATTTCCTTAAGGAAATTCCAAGAATTTTTTAGTTAAATATCCTAGATACATTTTACCAGATTGCCTCCAAACAGGTTGCCCCCGGCTTACGTGCCCCATTTGGATAGGGCTGGTGATGTGGTTCTACACCAGCTTAGGATAACCCCAGTGGAGCAAATCCTATTATCTGAAAGGCAAATTATGGTATTTTCAAATTATAATTTATATAACTATCAAAAAACAAAACATTACATAACATTGCAAGAGATTAACAAAACAAGCCATTACAGGCCATGTTTATTTATTTATTTTTGGTCAATTATCTGCTTTCCTTATCTGTTTTCTAGCAAGGTTTTGATGGATTTATTGAAAAATTATTTTAGGAGCTCTCTACATCTCTACATGTTATCCTTATGGACTAGAATGTGGTTTATTTTCTCTCTCTTTTTTTTTTGGGGGGGGGGTATCAGGGATTGAACCCAGGGGCACTTAACCACTGAGCCACATTTTAGCCTTTTTTTTTTTTTCTAGAGACAATCTCATTGAGTTGCTTAGTGCCTTGCTAAGGCTGGCTTTGAACTTGTGATCCTCCTGCCTCAGCCTCAGGTGTCACTGGAATTACAGGCATGTGCCACCGAGCTCAGCTGGAATGTGGTTTACTTTTGTTTTTGGTCTGGTGGTTGTCAACCTGCCAAAATTTATGTTTTTATTGTCAAAGTGATTGGCCAATCACTTTGTGACATGTCTGTGACTTACAAAGTCCTTCCTGAGAGGTAGCTTCTTAACTGGGTTTAGAGATTGCCTTTTCCTCTTCTTGGGATCTCTATTTTTGGTAAATTTTGAACAAACATCCTTTTCCCAAATACCATTTTCCCGGGAACATCTGGAATGCTGGAATGTGTTTGCCCTGTCCCTCCTCCCCAGAGGTTGGTGTGGGGTGGGAAGAGGCATTTCCACTGGGATGCTCTCCGGCAGGGAAACTGGCGGGAGTGGGGGAGTGAGATTCAGAAATGGCTCTTTCTGAAGCTCCAAGACAGCCACGGTCTGTTCTGGAAGATGTCTATCTTTCCCACCAAAGAAATGAAGAAATCATCCAAGGTCTCTTCCCGGTGATGTGTCTGCATGATGAAGAACACCTGTATATGGCCCAGATAAGCTCAAAAGGCAAGTTATTCTGCTCCATGATAGAAGGACACACTCTGGGGCCTGTGGATTTAGCCATAATCATCTCTGCTGTTCCCCCACCCCTGAGAAGCCAATCCCTTGGAGTCCAGACAGCTTTCCATCTCTCAGTTCCAGCAGAGTGCTGACGGCAGTGAACTGACCCCATGTCACACAGTTGGGATCTCTGAGTTCTAACCCCAGTCCTGCCTCCTCCCAGCTGCCTGACCTGGAGGAGTTTCCTGTCTGTGAAAGGAAGACCCTAACACCCATATTGCAGGACAGTGTGGAGATCAGATAATGACACCCTGTGCCATGCCTGGCACAGAGTAGGAGCACAGTGCTTCTGCATCGCATGATAATGCTGTTGCTGCTGATGCACAAACCATCGTTGCACACACTGTCCCTTGGAAAAGGAAAAAGGCAAAGATGGCCACGGGGTGGGGCTAAGGAAAGAGCTAACAACAGGACTTTGTTATTTTTCTGGTATTTAGGGATTCCAACTTCTTGGTTCTTCAAAGCATCAGTGAAGGGTCTTAGGTCGGCAAGTGTGGTTTTGTGGTTAGCAAAGGAGCACTGGAGTCAAGAGCTGAGTTCCTGACAGTTTCTAGATCTGCCACTTGTCATTGTGTGACCTTGGTCAAGCTACTTCTCTAAGCTGCATTTTTTCCTTTCTTTCTTTCTTTAATTTTTTTTCTTTTGTACCAGGGATTGAACCCAGGGGCACTCAACCACTGATCCACATCCCCAGCCCTTTATATTTTTTATTTTGAGATGGGGTGTTGCTAAGTTGCTTAGGGCCTTGCTAAATCATTGAGGCTCACTTTAAACTTGTAAATCCTCCTTGCCTCAGCCTCAGAAGTTGCTGGGATTACAGGCATATACCATTGCACTGGGCTTAAACTGCATTTCTTTATAGTAAAATGGGGTTACTAAAAGCGCCTCTTTTGAAGGGCAGTGTTGGACCTAAAAATGAAACAATTTAAGAACGCCTACTGTTAGGACCAAAAGTGGAAAGAGTACAGAAACAGACCAAGGAGAGGACCAACCTCAACAGACCAAACCAACTTTATTGAGCCTTGGAGAGGGGCGCAAAGCCGACCTGAGCAATCAGGAGGGAAGGGCACATGGTGACAGAGAGCAAGGGTTTTTTGTAGGCAACTTAAGAGGAGGTGGGTACAAAGAGCTAGTTTCAAAGAAAACACACTGATGGTCAATCTGACTTGAGCAACAGTTTTTCTGTCCAGGAATAGACCTCAGGGTGTGGGCAAGGGTGGTTCAGGGTGCTTCAGGGTGGGTCAGGGAAGAATCAAGCCACCTGTAAAGTTAAGGCAAATATATAATTACCTTCCAGAGTGGGACACTTTGGGGAGGGAAAGGAGGCTATGAAAAGTTGCCCCAGTAACCCAGGATTGTCACAGCCAGCCAGGGCATATTGCCATCCTGTGTGAAGGGCCCAGTGCAGGGCCTGGCCCTGAATATGGTCTCAGTGATGACAGCCAAGTGTGGGGCTTTCTCTTCAACAGCAGTGGCCCATGCTGGACATAAATAAGAACTGTGGAGAGAGCCCTGAGCAGGGTGGAGTGGAGTGCTCAACTCACAGTTATTCTCAGAGGGGGACGGGGAGCCACCAGGACCTCAACAACCTGTGTCCTCTGGGAGGTTGTCTTCTGTGTCAGGAAGTAAAGATGGAGCAACCTCCTTCCCAGGGTCACTGCAGGGGAGGCCCTCTTGGATTGGCCCCTGTCCATTTTCCTCCTGTGGGAGCAAATTAAACCCAGTTCCCCAAAATGCAAAGCCTCTGTTCCAACTTGGATCAAGCCTTCCCCTCACTGGGTCTATGACTCCCTCCCAGCAGCATCTCGGTGGCTCCAGAGGTCACAGCCTAGGTCTTCTCCTCCTTGACAGGGCCTTAGCCTTTGGCTTGGGGCCAGCCAGACATGGAGTGAATGGCTGCTTGTGTGAGGTCCCTCCAGGACCCTAGCTTCCCTCCAGCTCTGTAGCATAAACACATTCCTGAGGCCCAAACAAGAACCAGGCATGACTCAGGCCTCAGGAATGTGTAACTGGATCCGCTCTTCTGGGGGAGAATTCCTCACCCTAAGGTGAGCAGCCAGCTGGCTAGGCCCAAAAGCCAGAAAGGGGGCCTCTGCTTCTCCAAGGAGCATCAGGTGACTGGACAGGTTCCAAGGGGGAAAACCCCCTTCCATTGCCACCTCACTGCCCCCCCCCCCCACAGCCCTCCAGAGTCTTCGTGGTGTTGTGGGGAAGGTGGAGCCAGGGTAGAGGGAGTATGCTAACCCCATTCCAAGTTCAGGTTCAGTGCTTAGAGAGAGTGGAGCAGGCAGGCTGACTCAGCAGGAACAGAGGCCAGGAGCAAAATGAGGATAGACATCCATACTCCAGTTTTCCCACCAGCCCCGAGCATGGGTAGAGAAGAGATGCCCCTGGATCTGGGACTGAGAGGGCAGTCCGGCCTGCCTGGTCCAGGGAGTATTGGTACACTGACCTCCCCAACACAGCCTTTGAGAGGCTGCATCTCCAGGTTACCCAGGCCCCACCTGGCCCACACGATGCCAAGGGTTCTCTGGGGACAGAGCTGTGTCCTTGTTCAGTGCCAACAATCATTTTAATAGGGAATCTTGGGTTTAATAGGGATTTATAGATAGGAATTTTTATGTAGATCCCAATTTAATAGGGATTCATAGAAGTCCCCCATTTGATGGCTCTGAGAGTGGCCGTATTGCTGGAGGGTCAAAGATTAATGAGGCCCAAGTCTGTAAGCCAGTTGCCAAATATGATACAAATCAGAAACACGAAGTAATGGGACCTCAGCAGACACTTTGCTTGGCTTGGTGGAGGGACTCAGGTCTGGGACTAGACAAGACACGGTCACTAGCCATCACCATCTAGAGGACAGTGTGCAGGTATGGTGCTGACCAAGTCCTAAGAGTGACCTGCCTTCCTTCAGGTGGACCAGGGAGATTGCCAACCTGACAGTGTGGTCCACGGAGCAATGCGGAGCCCTAGGGGTTGTGATGGGGGCCACACCCGAGGCCCAGTATCTGAACACCCTTCCTATGCTGGAGACCCCCCAGGGAAGGGGAGAGCCCACCTCCTCCCACTGTGGGAGACCACACAGGGCTAATCCTTCTCCCAGCTCCTGGGCCAGAGTGACATTGTTAGTGAGGCTTGGCCAGTGGGCCCTTCCCCCCAGGACTGCAAATGTGCAGAGATGAGGCAAGGCTTCAGAAGAGGCACTAAGGACTGCCAGGCTGAAGGACTCCAGCTGTGTCCATCCATAGGTGGCAAGTCCTGGCATAGTCTCCCCTAGTGAGATCCAGTTATGCTCCCTCCCCAAGATCTTACTAGTTCCCAGCCTGGTCCTCTAGCCTGATAACCCAGTGAGCCCTCGATTGGTCCCTACAACAACCCTTTTCCACATGAGTTGGCCAAAGCTGGTTCCTGTGGGTGGCACTGAAGGTGCAATACCGTGGGATAGCATGTGCCCAGGCTCAGGTGTGACTAGTGGGCTCAGGACAGCTCAGAGGGGTTATCAATGGAGTCAGACCCTTCTATGGCATATGCGTACTCTGGAATCCCTGCTTGCTCTGGGCACTGAGCAGAGGCTGGAGTAACTGAGGATCTTGGTTCTGAGCGGAGGAGCTGGTCTCAGAGCTCTCAGGTGAGGTTGGGGTGTGGGAGCTCTCAGGTGAGGTGTGCCATGGGAGCAGGGCCTGGGAGTAGCCTAGGGCAGGATTCCTCCTGGGCCTGGTCAGAGCAGCAGCTTTGCAGGTTTTGGAGGTCCTGACCCTGCTGAGAGGTTGTCTGCCTGGACCTGAGTTCCTTGGGTGGGAAGAAGCCCAGTACAGCAGGCACTTGTCCACATGTGACAGATCCTCCCTGGAGCAGAATGGGCTGAGCCCAGTGGGCTGAGGTCATGTCTGCACGTGACCATCTTCTCACTGTCCTTTGGTAGGGACATATTGTGCTGTCCTTCTGCCCTCATCAAGAAGGGGTGGTGGCAAGGAGGTAGGCAGAGGAAGGACCTAGAGTGAAAGGAGCCGACAGGTGTGGGGAGACGTGCTTGTCTCTGAACCCTCTCAGCTGGAAGTGAGAAAATCTAATGACCCTCCCAGGATCTGCCACCCTCCACCCCTCACTTACCCTTGCAGTCTGAGAGCCAGTCCTTCCCCAGGACCTCTCTTTCCCTCTGTTCCTTATCACCCAGCTCCATCCAAGCTAGCTGTTCGTCCAGAGCTCCCATTCCCTGATGGAGAAAGCTGTATCTCTCTAGGCTCCCTGGGCTGCTGGACACTCCATCTCCCCTCAACAGAATGGTGGCCTTCACCTTCCAGAAGGTGTTAGGCAGTGTTCCTGCCCCGTGACTCCCAGTCCTGGTGTTCATACCCTGACTAAGTCCTCCTTTCGGATTGGGGTGCACAGGACATGTTTATAGCCAACAAAGAAGGGCAAAGGTAAAGGAATTTTACAGGTAAGTAGGGCTCTGAATCAGCTGGGTTTGAGTTAACCAAAATAGGTTTTTCTCTGGGTCCTGGCTCAGTCATGTGAAAACCCTTGCAAGAGGGGCAGCCTTTCCTGAGTAGAGAACATCTCCACACAGGTTTGATGAAGCAAGCAGCCACCTTCAAGAGGCCTAGCTAGTGAAGAGCCACAGGCAGCCAAAGGGACTCTAAGGCAGCCTCTGGCAAAAAACTAGGGACCTCTATCTTATCACTGCAAGGAAATGTGTGGATGCAGATTCTTCCCCAGCTGAGCCTCCTGATGAGATTGAGCCATGAATACCTTGATGACAGTCTTGTGAGACCCTAGCACAGGGTCCAGGTAAGCCGTGCCCAGACTCCTAACCCGCAGAAATGGGAATCAAAAAGGGACACTGTCCTAGCCTGCTAACTTTGTGGTGATCTGTTATGCAACAATAGATTCTATTACAGGCAGGGAGTTGGGAGGCTTCAAGATGTCAGGCTGGAGCTTGGAGACGGCACAGGTGTCTTGCTTCATCCAGAGTCTGAGTCCTAAAAAGCCCCCCAAACCCCACCTGAAGCCTCTAATAGGCCAGAATCAGCAGCTGGACAGTGGGTAGGTCCTAGGCTGGGGTTGGAGCTAGTCTGGAGATGAGGGTCTTTCCTGGGACCTGGTTGGCTAAAGACAATCTGCAAACTAGGAAGGGCGTGGCTAGAAGTGTGTGCCCGCCCGTGGCATCTGTGTGGGACATGCACCTGAGGCTTCCTGGGGCTTGATCCATTTCCTCAGAGTGAGCCCGGCATGGGTGGGTTCCTGCTCACAAGGGCTGTGCATACTGAATTCATCTATTGACTTTTAACGAAAACTTCTGGCTTGCTGGCCCCTTGCCTGCTGGGTGTCTTCTTTCAGCCCCTAAGCGTTCATTTAACTCCCACATCCTTGTCAGTGTTTGATGTCATCTTACCCGTAATTTTTGCCATTTACCTGGGTGTAGAACAGGACCTCAGTGTTTTAATTTGTATTTTTTTCCAATAACTAGTAACATTGGCCACCTGTTGGTGACCTTGTTCATCATTTGGTTTCCCTTTCTGTGAACCCTTTTCATAACCTCTCTTTTTCACTTCCTTTCTCTCCTGGAGATTTCTCAGGGCTTCCAGCTGGTTTGAAGGCCAGGGACAGCCTCTCAGCCCTCGCCTAATAATTTCCATATCTCTGTTCTGCTGGGGCCACCAGGCTCTGGGCCTTCTGCATCAGCCCTATCCCCTTAATGCTGAGTCCCCCAGAGTGGCCAAATTCTGAGAAGGGTGGTAGGGATGAGTTCAGGGTGTTCATACCCTAGGTAAGTGCAATGGTAGAAAAGACCCCTAGCTAGCTTTTCTATTGAATCAAAGCTTTTTTTCCTTATTTTTGAAAGCCAGTAGGGAGAGAGGGGAGAGGGGAAGGAAGACCATGTGCGCAGCCTTTGTGGATACAGCCTGAGCTGGGTACTTTATGTGCCTAGCCTCAGGTCATTCTGACAATAGCCTTGTCTTTTTTAAATTATTTTCTCCATTGGAAAGATGGAACACACAGGAATCAAAGAGTCTTGGAAATTAAACCATAACCCAGAACCTGATCCTCCGCCTCCCAGGCCAGGTCCTGGTCCTATATTGGGGGAAGGGTTCCCCATTAGACTTGTGGGTGAGCCACTGAATAGTGATTTTCCTCCCATTGCAAGACCCAGGCAGGCTGGTGGACCCCACCTCCCAGAAAGAGCACAGTGACAGAGAACTAGGAAAAAAACACAAATGACCCCATTGAGTCTGCTGTGTGCCCTAGGGGCTTCCGGAGCAAACAAAGTGTCTGTTGTCTCCTCAGGACCGGAAGCCCCCGCCCCCCCCCCCTGCAGGGCCCACCGATGAGTCATCTCCTGCGCTGGGCTTTGTTGTGCCCGACAATCTCTCAGCCCAGCCTGAAATGGCAGATGATCTCATCGGGCAGGATCTGGGGAAACCCTGTCACTTTAGCCCCAGGGAAGCTCACCGCCCACAAACAGCCCAGACACTGGAGCCCCTGCCTTGAGAGAGTTCCTGGAGGCGGTGGGTAGACGCTGGGCAGCTGCCCTGCTCCTCAGCCAGCCCGTGCAGAGCCAGCCAGGAGGAAGAGCCTGTGTCCCCGAGTCCAGGGAAAGCCCCGCTTTGTTCTCTCAGGACACCGCCGCGCGTGTCTGGTGGCCGCCCACCCTCAGCTGCGTCCTGTGGAGTTTCCTGGCTTCCAGAGAAGCCCCCGATGAATACATTGGGAGTCCAAGGAAGGCTGACCTGAGACTGGCAGGAGGCCGAGGGCTGGTACAGCTGCCAAACCTGACTATCTGGGAAGACTGGGAGGGAACACACCAGACTTTCCACACGACAGCCTTCAGAGGACTTCAGAAATAGAAATTTAGGAATGCTGAAGCTATTTGTATTCTTTGAACTTGGATATTACTATCGTTTGCTGTTTAATGTGTATCTCACTGTCTGACACAGACCAGTGCTCTGGGTCCCAGCCTGACGCCTACTGACTATGACCATGAACAAGGGACTTTTCCTTCCCAAGCCTCAGTTTCCTCCCCTGACAAATGGTGGCAGTGGTGCTGCTCAGACAGCTGTCATCAGCACGTGTGCGCCTGCACAGGCCCAGCACCCAGGTCATGGCCAGCAGGAAACATGGCCTCCCCTCTTCTCTTCGCTCCCCAGAGCTTTGAAGAGGCTCTAGGTTGGGCATCTGTTCATCACCTCTCTGAGGTTCATGGCCTGAATCCCTTCCTTGGGAATACCCACCTTTCCTCAGCACACAGGTGGTGGGTGGGGGCACCTGCTAGAGCCTCTGGGAAAGAACCGCCCTAGTTGTCAGAGTGCCAAGGATGGTGTCATCGGCTGGGCTAGGGCTCTCCGTCTGTCGGTTACCATGGTGAGTGACTGCTCAGAGGCCAGATCAGAGAAAATCACTGTAGCGATAGGAAGTCCAGATCCTCAAGGCCCCAGGCAACAGGTGTGGGGATCTCCCCAAGTCCTCTCCTGTGCAGACTGTGTCTTCTTAGAGCAGGGCTGGAGCCACTGAGAGCTCCAGGTCAGACACCAGGCCCTAGTCAAGAGAAGCCGTTCTTATCCCTGCCCTGGGCAGCCCTCCTGAGCCCCACTTCTGAAGCACAGTGGCATGAGCCTTCTTCCTACACCTTTGCCAGGGAGCAACAAGGGACCTGTAGGGAAGTGACACACCTCTGAGTGTTCCCTACCAGAGCTTTCCAGCCTACTGGATCATCATGAGACATCAGACACATTACTGCAGCTTTTGCAAGTCCCTGGTCACCCCTGACCACATTACCCAGCTGTGAAGGGAGCTGAAGAGTCACTCTGGAGATGTTTGAAGAGGCCACTTTGGGCAGGCTTAGACAGGTGGGTCTGTCTTTGCAGGTGGTTCTGACACACCTATATATTGTAGAGCTGTATGAGACAGTGCTTGGGGCCCAGCTCTCACCTGGCCAGTGCCAGAGAGTGCTGCTTGGCAATGCCCCCTCATACTACAGTCTTCTACCTACCTGAAGGAGTAGCTGCTCTAAGAACATGATCTAGCCCAAGGTTCAAAAATGTGGTCATTTCTGCTTCGGCACGCTTATGGTTTAGATACAAGGTGTCCCCCAGAAGTTCATATGTGACAATGCAAGAATGTTCAGCAGTGAAATGATTGGGTTCTGACCTAATCAGTGGATTGATTCACTGATATGGATTTATTGGGTGGATTTATTGGGTAGGCAGGTAGGGGGTGTGTGATATGCCTTTGGGGTTTATATTTTGTTCCTGGTAAGTGAGCTCTCTCTGCTTCCTGGTTGTCATGAACTGAGCTGCTTCCCTCTGCCACACCTTTCTGCCATCATCTTGGGCCCAGAGCTATACAGTTAGTTAACCCTGAAATGAACCTCTGAAACTGAACCAAAATAAACTTTCTTCCTCTAAGTTGTTCTTGTCGATCCTTTGGACATAGCAAAAAAAAAATCTGTCTAAAACAGGCACCAAGGTCTTAGCTGATAACCTCTGTTTACCTCCACGTTCTACTGCACTCTACTTCCCAGTCTGCCGCAGCCACAGAGCAGCACCCGTATACTCCCTAGTGGGCCGTGCTTTGAATCTCCGCCCATGCCTCCTAGGGCTGAGAGATGTTCTTCTCACACCTGAGTCAGAGCTGTATCAGAGGCAGGTTGATTCAAGCCACTGACAGGCCAAGTAAATGCAAGGAGGCTGGAAGGTTGCATGGATCCAACCTTCTTTTCGGGAGAACACTGCACGTGGTTCAAAGGAAGTTTTGGATGAGCCACTTGGGGAGGAGTGGAGACCCCCAGGAATCACGCTTGCTCCTGACCCATGGTTGGTGGTCTCCTAAGAAGACCCTGTCTGCAAGCTTTAGTCTTCCCTAGAGGCTGTGTCCATCAAAAGGGTCCTCCTTTTCTCCCCTCTCCCCACTTAGCTCACAGAGGCCCCTGCATACGTGAATCCTGAATTGATGGTGAAAAAATATCAGTTTGCCACGTCCTCCATTCATAATCTCCCTGAGCCACCCCACGTCTCAATCCAGGGCCAATGGCAAACACTAGTGGCCTTGCAAACTCAGCTCAAGTGGCTCTTCCTCTGGGAAGCTCAGCATAAAATCAGTGCCAAACACAAGGACTGCTTCTCATTCTTTCTCCACACTTATGGCAATGCCTGGCCCGCTGGAGGTGTGGAGTGTTTAAGAAATGAATGGCGGAAGCTCCCTGCCCCTCCCCGCTGTGCAGCTGTGAACACCCCCTCATCACCCCCTTTCTGGGCTGACAGTGAACACCTGCTGCAAGCAGAGAAAAAGGTACCTGATGTCATTCCGGGTGTCTGGCACGGGCGGGGATCCTCCCTCTTCCTGCACAGATGTGCTTACCTGCCCAGGGCCTGTGGCCATCCTGGCCCCTGAGCTCTCAGCACGTCACCAGCTCGTTGCAGGTCAGGCAGCAGGGCCACCCTCACTGTGGTCACCCAGGTCCAAATCCAGCTTCCTATCCGCTCTCCTCAGGGCCCCTGGCCTCCCTGTAGCCTCCTGACAGCCAGCCCCTGGAGCAGCCAGAGGAAGAGCCCCTGAGCCCAGCTTTCCTCCCGACACGACTCAGCCTTCCAGGCACAACAGCAGGTGCACCCCTCCCTGCTGCCTGCCTGGAGGGCCTCTGGGGCCTGTCCCAGCTGGCCTCTCTGTCACCTACCCTCCTGTGAGCCTACTCGCCATATTCCCTCTCCCTCCCTGGCAGGCCCACAACAGCCTTTGGTCTCCAAGGCCCAGCTCTGCCCTCAACTACCCCATTGCTTCCCTTTCTGGCCCACACAGCCCCGTGAGCTCACACTCATCCACACATTCCCTGTGGACTGATTATCCCAGAGTTAGACTCTTTGGAGCTTTGGTCTACTTCCCATAATTATGAGCACCTAGTGTATGCAGAGCACTCATCTCAAACAGACCTTCAGAGTCAGATTATCCATGGCCTGATTGGACGTGGGCTCCAGGTGTTGGGTCCTCTGGGATTGGTGTTGTCACAGGGCTGAGGACCTTTGGGGACACTTATGTGATGTGTGAATCCAGCTCAGGCCTTCCCTCTAGAGTGGTCAGATCTGGAACTGGAGCCTCATTCCAGAGGTCCCAAGAAAATTTCTAGGAAATTCCCAGGAACCATCCATCTTGGACATCCACCTGGAAAAAATCCATTGGTGGGAATTCTATTCCCTATCATTTGTTTCCCACTGACCAAAAGAATATGACCAGTTGTCCTCTGATTCTTAGTAAGCAACCTGTTGTCATGGTGAACAGAAACCGAAACTCCAGCCTGGAACATCCTGCTGCTGATAAACATTGTTTCCCGTAAGGCGAGCAAGACCCAAGAAACTGGAGACTCACCGCTACCCATCAACTTGCACCTCGCTTGCACAATAAAAGCCCCCAGCTGGCGGTGGGAGCCCCACTCTCAAAGAAGACACCACTCATGGCCTCTCTCCCCTGCAGAACTCCCCAGGCCAGCAATGTGGCAGGCACACTGATGCTGAGATGATCTGTCGCCACTTTAGAAAGGTCAGGGAGCTAGAACATGGTGGAGCTGGGTGCCAACTCAGCCCTACCCTGATGTCAACAGCCTCTAGAATCAGGTGGAGGTCTCAGGGTGGTCTCAGGTCAGTGGGCAGACAGGGCTGCCTAGCATGACTTGAGTGACAGGAGGGTTGTTCTGGGAAGGCTTCTCAGAGGGAAATTCCAATTGGTTCTCTGAGGACAGAAAAAGAAGAGGAACTTCCAGGGTGGAGAATTCAGGTGCAAGAAGTCACGTGAGCAGAGGTTGAGTGGAGAATGGCTCATGTGGAGGCAGATGGGGAAGGGATGGGTTTCAGTTCCACTCCTCAGTCTCCTTTCCCCATAGCTGCCAGGAGGCCCTTGCATATTCCCCTTCATGAACAGTTACCCTTTAAAAGCACCTCCCTCCTTGTGTGTGTATATCAGGGCTCACACTACTCACACCTTCATTTCATTTCTCAGCCACACCTGTCCTTCCTGGCTGGAGTGACCAAAGGGAGAGAATGGCCCTGAGGATCAACAGGAGTCACTGCCCAGGCCCCAAGTGGAAGAGCCCAGCCCCAAGGACCAGGCCTATGCATCAGCAAGGCACACCTGGAGAGCAGAGGAGGAGGAGTTTCACCTGGGCTTCCTCCTGGGGCACTGCCCTCACCTGGTGCTTCAGTGGGTCTGAGCCCCCTTTGGGAGCCTTCAAAGTGGGAGCCGAGGGCTAGCTATTGAAGCCAAACAGCATGTTGGGGCTCAGAGATGGAGGAGGAGGCAGCCGATACTTATTGGTCTCATCTGGCTTTAAGAGTCAGCTGATGGGTTTCAGTAAGCCCAGGAGGCTCTAAGACTAGGGATCCTGGGCTCAGGGGTGGATACGGATGTTTCTGGGCTTCATGCCCCTCAGCACTCCCACTGCAGCTATCGCACCAGTTCAGGTAAACATCCCACCAGGCCCCTTTACCCCTGGAACGTGGCTTCTGTCTCTAGCTCAGCAAATGCCTCCCTTAGGGGTGGGAATAGCAGCAGAACCAATAGCCCTCAGGACCCCTTGTTCTGAAAGCTCCAGAGAAACCAAAACAAACTCCCAGCCAGAATGTGAGACCAAGTGGGGAGAGCAGGAAAGGCCCGGGCTTTGTCTTAGATCCTGACGTTTACATTTTCCACATTAACGAACTGGGAAGTGGCTTTTTTAATGCCAATAATAACAACTACTATCCCCTCTGTGTTCTCATTTAATCCTGGCAAACACTAAGTGAGGCCACCATTATGATCCCTGTTGTAGAGATGAGGGGATTGAGTTCACAAAGGACCTAGATTTCTCCAAAGTCCCAGGGTTAGATCACACCTGAGCTGAGACTTGAACCCAGTGTCACCGCTTCTTTCCCAGTTTGTTGGTAGAGCATTGTGTGCCCTTTCAGGAACAGGGTTAGATGGAAGGCTCTTTTCTGGTTCACTTGAGCCTCCCAGCATGGACACAGCCAGATAAGGAAGCAGACTCTTGTGAGGTGGCCAGAAGGTCAGCCTGGCCCAGCACTGCCTTACTCAGCAGTGCTGAGTGAAAGTCACCTGCCAGCCAAGCAAGGCTAGCCAAGTCATCAGCCCAGGCTGACCACATGCTCTGGGATACAGTCTCTGTCTTCCCTGGCCTGTGGCATTTCTTTCTTCCCTCTGGTCCCCTGGCCCTCTGGGGCCTGGCATTAAGTTCTCCCTCGCTTCCTCTGAGGCCAGTTTGCCAAGCCCAGGCCCTTTGAAACTGCAGAAATGGGGCAGCCCCATATCATCCGCTTGCAGAAAATTAGCCAGGGACTAGATCTCCTGGAACTCTGGAATTTTTAGTCTAATATCTTTAACAGAAAAAGAAAACATTGGATTCAGAAATAGTGGTTTTGCAAATGCATCTGTTTCCAAAGCTCACTGCCGGACAACTAGAGCTTGCTCTCTGAGGATGGCCAGGTGGTCAGTGGAATTCTACCAGGTTCACTTGAGTCTTGGGACCTTAAGGTTTGCATCATGAAGCTGCGTGTTACCGCACTTCCATCTGGCAGATGGCCTCGCCACCGCAAGGCACTCAGAAGTCAGGAGCAGGAGACACCAACAGAAGTGCAATTAATCAGAGCAATTGCTTCCCCTGCTGTGAACATGCCACTTCCCGGGGTGTGGAGGGCAACACACGGAAGGACCTGCCTTTGCGTCGCTGCAGCATTCAAAACCACGTCAAATATGCAGCGTGCTTTCATTTTTGACATGGGTCTCCATGAAAACTGCTGCAGCCACAAGCCAGCCAATGTGCAGGGCTGCAAAGTCCCTGGCTCTCCTGGCCCGGGTGGGGACGGGTGGGGACGAGTGTTGTGCTTCACCAGAAGCCAAAGGTTCCCTCCAAATCAATACAATGAAAGCTTCTGACGGAGACTGGCTGGAATCCCGGCTTTGCTAATTGTTATTTTTATGGGAAAATTACTTGTTTTTGTTCCTTGTGAACCAGAAGAAGGAAAACAACTTAAGGTGGTTGCTGAACGGGAAGGGAAAGCCCGCTAGCTCCCTAGGGAGATGACACCCGAGAGCTGTGGATTTGGTGGGACTGAGGGAAGCAAAGGCCCAGGGGCTGGTCTACCCTATGCTAGTACTTGCTTGGGAAGTTCTGAATCTTGGGTTTCAGTGCACAAACTGGTGATTTAAAACCTGCTGAATTATGTGAGTTTGGGGATTAAATGAGTCAGGGGCTAGGGGATCTCCCTAGGAGGAACAAGTTATAAAGAATCCCAAGGTGTGAGGGTGGGAGCAGGTGCCTGTGATTCAGGAGGAGAGAGTCCTTTGTGGGAAGGATAAGGCTGGTGCCTCCCCTGGAAGCCAGAGAACCAGGCAGATCCTGAACAGTCTGGGTCTCTTGCTGTGGGACCCAGGGCCTGAGGAGGAGCTCTGAGGCCAGGGGAAGTTGCCCTTAAGGTTTCCCCTATCCCAGGGGTCTGGGTTCCCCTCTGCTCCCCACACTTTTGGCCAGGCCTTGGGAGAGAGGGGCCTGATGGCCCATTTCAGCTACTGGGCTAGGAGGAAGCTATTTGCATTTTCCCCTTCACCCAACTCAGCAGCAGAGACGCTTTGGCATGGGTTGGTGGGAATGGGGCTGCCTTCTGCTTGCCAGTTGGGGAATAAGGGAATGGGGGAAGGGCTGGCCCCAGGTGGTGCTCCTGGTGTCACTCCTTGAATAGGGGTGAGCCCCTGAGAAGAGGGAACTGCTGGGACCTCTGCAGGCCACACCTGTGTTCCTTACTTACAGCTCGAATTACCATGAATTTGGCAGTGTAAACAGCAGATGATTCGTTTCTCCTGGTTCCGGAGGCCCGAGTGCAACATCAAGGTGCTGGCAGGGTCCTGCGTCCTCAGCAAGCTCTAGGGGAACCCCTCCTTGCCTGTCTACCTTCCGGCAGCTCCCATATTCCTGGGCTTTGGCAGCACCACTCCCGACTACCTGGCTTCACACGGCCTTCTTGGCTCTGGGTGTCAAATCTCCATCTTCTTTCTCTTAAAAAGATACTAGTCATTGGGTTTGGGGCACCCTAAATTCAGGATGGTCTCATCTCAAGACCCTTTACTTAATTACACTTGCATTGCTGGGCATGGTGGTGCACACTTGTAAACCCAGTGGCTCAGGAGGCTGAGGCAGGAGGGTCATGAGTTCAAAGCCAGCCTCAGCAACTTAGCAAGGCTCTAAGCAAATTAGCAAGATCCTGTTTCTAAATAAAATATCAAACAGGCTGGGGATGTGGCTCAGCGGCAGTGGTTAAGCACCCCCGGGTTCAATCCCTAGTACCAAAAAAAAAAATTACACTTGCAATGATTTTATTTCAGATAATGTCACACCCCCAAGTGCTAGGGGTTAAGACTTGAGCATGTTGTTTGGGGGAGACACGATTCAACCCAGTAACATTTAGAGATTCCATGGATTTAGACCCAATTTCTTTGGACTCTGCCTACCATATCTCCTATGTTTTCATGGCCACCAGTGGGCTCTGGCCCCAGAGACTACAGATTCCTGAACTGGACTAGATGACAGGCAAGATGCCCAGCCCTCTTTGCTCCATTGGAACCTGGCAGGGTAGGACTGCAGCCCTAGATCCTTGGCTGCCTGTGTCTGTCCACACAGTTCTGGGCAGGTAGACAGGATCATCTGGGGCTGGTCCCAGGGGCTGAAGCTCCCTGCTGGAAACAGGACGATGGAGCCTGTGAAGATCAGAATGATTACTGCTATTGATTGAAGCTCTTGTGTGTTCTACGTACTTTTCTTCATGATTTCACTAAATACTAACAATCATTCTGACCATTTTATAGACAAAAATACTGAGGTTGTTGGTAAGCTTTTATAACCTGACGTACATGTCACAGTTTATAAGTGGTTGAACCAAAGTGATAACCTGGGTTGCTTACAGGACATGGTCAGCATCTCTCCTTGGCAAACTAGGATCCTGAATTGCAGGCATAGGGTAGAGTTAGGAAGAGAGTCCCAACCTCAGGGCTACACCAAGGCCTGAGTCAGGGGTCTTCATGGTCCCAAGTCTCATGTTATGGATGGTGGTGGCATTGGTGGTGCAGGTTCTGGTGGGAACAGAGAAGTGGCCCCAACCTGGAAATCCTGGTGTTCTGAACAGACAGAGCCAGATTGGGAGCTGACGGTCGACCAGGGCCAGAGTACTGCTTCCCAGGCCAGCTCTCCCCAGTGCCTGCTGTCTCCTTCCAGGAAGGGCTTTGGGACTGAGCAGCCCTGGACACGGCAAGAAACCACACACCCAGGGCTCAGACCCTGTCCTGGCTTTATCGGTTCTGTGACTTTCGAAAACGATTCAACCTCTCTGAACCTGGAGTCCCGGGAAGTAAGATGAGGCGACTCGGGTAGGCAGGCGGGGGCTGAGAATTGGTCAGGGGTCTCTGGTTCTGTCTTCCCCGGAAGCGCTGGTCTGCTGGAGGGGAGCAGACAGAACTAAACAGACCTGATCCGTATTCTGCCCTGGCCTCCCCGGCACTGGGGAAATTGCAGGCTCCAATTCAAGCTCTTGAATTGACGCCTCCTCTTGATGTGGGGACCCAGGAGCCTCCAGCATTTGCTGCCCCAGTGGCTCCAAAGAGAGGCTCCCTGCAGAAGTCCTGGTCCTTCTTCCCAGGGAAGGAGCTCAGAGGTGCTGTGGCGGCTGGGGGCCCTGCGGTGTCCTGGAGGGCCCGAGGGGAACAAGCAGGAGGGAAGGTGGGTCTTCTCTACTGGCTTCTCCCCTCAGGAGGAGGGGGGTCTGGGGGCTCTCAGGACTGTTTTTCTAATCTGTGGCGCCAGCCCCAGTTTGGCAAATGACCCTTCAGGGAACCAGGGCAATAAAGTTGGAATGTCTCGGGCACAGGAAAAAGGACACAAAGGCAACAGTGTAGGGAGGGTTCTGCAGGAAGAGATGGGAACCGGGGTCCTGGGCTGCTGGGAAGGTCACAGCTCCAGGAAGCACGCGGTGACCCTGGGGCTCAGGCAGTCGGGGTGGGGGGGGTCTGTTATGGCAGACTCCAGAGCCTGGCTGAAGCCCACTCCCCAGCCTGGACCTGGGTGGGAAAACACAGACGGAATGAGGGAGAGGAAGACCTGGTAAAAGGGGTGCAGCCTAAGGAAGGGGGTGCTGGGGTAGCATCTCTCCTGGCTTCAAGCCAGAGGAGTTGAGGAAGAGCTGACTCCAGAGTCAGGCCTTGGCTTTCATCTTCCTTTTCTAAGGGCAAAGTCAATTCAGGCAATGTGTAACCCCTGCTTGAAGGAAACCAGAGGGGAGGGGACTCAGGGCACGACCCAGAAGCTAGGCCCTCCCCACTGTCCTCACTGTTTGGCCTTCCTCAGGTCCCCCTCCTCTCTCACCTTGAATCCCACCATCCTCTCCAGGCCTCCTGTGGCTTCTCAGGGTCCTTAGTAAGATCCAAGCTCCCAGGAGGTCTTTGAGGCCCCCTCATGATGTGGCCTCTGCTATCCTCCCACCCCCAGACTTAACTCCCACACTTCTCCGTCACAGAGAGCCACTTGCTTCTGACCTCAGGCCCTGCCCATTTTTCTCTCTTTTCTGAAACACATTTCCTCTCTTCTTCCCTAGCAGGACCTTACCTGCCCCTGGGATTGCGGTACAGGCAGTGCTTCAAAGGAAGCAGCCCGGCTTTCTGCCTCGGTACCCATAACACCCTCCATCACAGTTCTGGAAACACTGCAAGCGATTAGACATGTCCCATCTCTCTCTCACCATCCCAAGCAGCCTGGGAAATGATGGAGCCTCCCCTGTGTCCTCACACACCCAGGACCAAGTTCAGCCATGCTGGGGGCAGGTGCCCAGGTGCCCAAGTGCCTAGAAAGCATTTGACAGAGAGTGAGGTTGAGAGCTCAAGTTCAGCTACCTGGGGGTGAACTTTGGAAGGCTGGAAATGGAAGGGATGGGAACGTGCATACCCCTAGGGTGAAGGTGTAATGCTTTGGATTGGAAGTGGGGCTCCAGGTTCTGGTGTCTCTGACTAAAAAGAAAGAGGAAATGGCTTTCTCAAATAATGCTGTGTGAGGTAGGTGCTGGGGTGAGAGAAGTCAGTTCAGGAAGAACTTGTAGCCCGGGAGCTCTGCTGTGGAAGTGATTTAGGTGGAGTCCAAAGACAGAAAACTTTTGGCTTCTCTGCTTCAGGTAGAGGCCAGGAAGCCCTGGACAGGGCAGAGCCACTCTCATTAATGAGGGTGCTGATAAGGGACAGAGAGATGGCACCACCTGTCTACTTCCTTGAAAGTAGAGGGGGAGGAGGGTTGCTGCAGATGGAGGGACCAGCAAGGTTAAGGGAGTGGGCCTCTGGCTGCTCTACAGCTCAGATGGAATCCTGGCTGTGGCTTGAGGTCTCTAAAACCCAATTCCAAGGGCACAGGCAGAGTTGGGCCAGTGGCTGAGATCTCCCTGGGGTCAATGGAGTTGGGGATTGGAGCCAGAGATCAGGACCCAGTGGGACTTGGTGCCAGGAACAGCATGCCCAGGGGCCACTGCTGGACTTCAGAACAGTATTGCCAAGTAAAATACAGATTAAATCTGAAGTTCAGAGAAACAAAAAAAATTTTTTTTTTATAATTCTAACTATGTCCCAAAAATTGCATGGAAATACTTTAAGACTAAATAAATAAAAAGTATTTGTTGTTTATCTGAAACTCAAATTTTGTGGCATGTCCTGTATTTTTTATTTGCCATATCTGGCCACTTCAGTTAGGTGTCAGCCACATCTGTGAGGCACTGTGGCCCACAAACTCAATTCCAGTAAAACAGCCCTAAAGCAAACAAACCCCCTGCAGCTTGCACAGAAAACAAAACACGTAACTTCCTAAGAACACGTTATTGTCTGAAGGTGGAAGTCTGTGATTTTTTGAAGGAAAAAACAGTCTTCTTCTGAGGAAGAATGAGTCACAGGCAAGCTGAACATGTTTCTCTGGCTTTTGAGGATGGGCTGATCCCTGCCCAAAGGCCACCATCAACCCTACAGCCCATGCCACTCCTGGCTACCAGCCTGTCTGGGACCTGATGTCAGCCTCCGACTCCACTGGGGGCCTCAAGCTGCAGGCCAGACTGTGGGTCAAGCTTTAGAGAAGCCAGGGCAGCCCCTGGGTCCCAGGGCAACTCTGAGCCAGAGACGGAGAAGGGGCTTCTGGATCCCCAGGGAGTCCCAACCCTGAACTTGGGGCTCAGAGTGGGGAGATTATAGGGATGTGACCCGCACCCCAACAGGGTAGGTTCCTACCCAAGAGGTGTGAGCTGCCTGGGAAAATTAAAAGTCTGAAATAATCAGCAAGAAATAAAGACAGAGCCAGAAATTACATTCAAAGAGGAGCACCTGGTGGGTCTTCCAGTCCTGATAGGAGTGGAACTGAACAACTGAGAAAGAGCCCCATTTTTCATTCAAGGGGGAGTACACCAAGGCGGGGATAAGGTTTCAGCAGGAGGAGTCTTGGTTGGGTGCTTGCTTCTGGGTGTGGCAGGGGTCTTGCAGTGAACAGATTGATTGGCATTTTGGCAAGTCACACCCATCTCTGAGAGGCTGCGTGGCTCTGGTGGGTCACCTCATCTCTGGTACTGAAACTATGCTAGAACTTCAGTGGGAGCTAGAACAGGGTGCCACCTGGATTGGGCGTTCTCAAACCAGTGGACTCCGACTGGGAGTTCCCGAAACCAGGCTTCCCTGCCTAATGGCTTCAACGTCACTCAGTTTACCCATGGCTCAGTTCACATATGGGTCATGGATGGCTTCCAGCAGGAGATACCACCTTGGTCTGCCTGTCTCCCACCAGATGGGAGTTCTTTGAATCTCTGTGTCCCAGGCTCTCCCTCCTGCTGAGCACCTGTCCTGGTGAGTGGGAAGGGATGTGGCCAGACAGCTGTCCAGCCCCAGGTCTCGCTCCTGCAGAGGAGCTGCTACTAAGAACAAGCAGAGGTGTGACACCTAACTGAAGCGTCCAGAAATGGCAAATAAAAAATACAGGACATGCCACTAAATTTGAGTTTCAGATATACAACAAAGACTTCTTATTTACTTAGTCTAAAAGTATTTCCATTCAATTTTGGGGACATAGTTAGAATTATAAATTCTTTGTTTGTTTCTCTGAACTTCAGAGAAACAGGTGGCAGGGCCCTGGTTGGGCCAGGGACCTCCTACCTGGACTCAGACTCCTTCCTCCACCCCTTGTCTTGTGCCCATATGGGAGTAGAGGGTCCTGTTGAAGTTCCCAAGTCTGCTGCTGTCAATCCTTTACTCAAAACCCTGTGGTGACTGTGACTCGCCAGAGTGAACGCTGATGCCCAGCAAAGGCCACTTGGCCCTTGATGCCTGCCTGACTTAGGCACCTAGGATTGACCCCTCCCATGCTGGCTCTGCTGGCCTTGCTGGTCCCTGAACAAGCAGGGCTGTGGTCTGCTGTTCCTCTTTTGTAGAATTCTCTTCCCTCAATAGCCACAGGTAAGGCTCACCACCTTACCCTCAGGCTGCCACTCAAGTGCCTGTTCCTCTGACCCGCAGCCACCCCACCCCCACACAACCTTCCTTCCCTCCTGATGCTCCTCATCTCCTGAGATCTCTGTAGGCTTCAGGCTGATGGTCTGTCATCTCCCGCTGGAATGGGCTTCACATCTGTTTTGCTCACACACAAGTCCCCTCCCCGGCTCCTGGGGCAGTGTGGCACCCAGCAGGAAGGAGGAGCC